TCCTTGTTCTTCCGTTTCCTTTTTCCGTTTGGGTTATCCGTTTCTCTAGTTCGAGGCTTTGTTGGTGGTTTCTTAACAACGGTTTTTTACGATGTAGGGTTGTTAGCCCTATGATCAACTCTCCATACCTTGAAGAGGAGGAGCTCGGGGCCCCGGTTTCACTAGATCCGTAACACAATTGCTGTTTTTCCCCTGGGGGCTAAAAACATGTATAACCGAACTTCACTCCGAATCGTTTTTCGTTAGCAATGGTTTATCGTAACCAACAGATATAAATTAATTAATTTTATTTATCCTACTTTCTCAACTCCCGCCTAAAACTATGTCACATTCATCCCCAGTATCAGCTCTTGTTTTCTTTTTCTTTTTAACTATCAAGTAGACACCGAGATGGTGTACTATGGATAGCTTTTATAAATTACGCCAGACAGAATTATTATACTGATTCTATTTAGTTTTAAAATCTAGACTTTCATTATTATATCATTTGTGTTACTATTTTTTTTCTCTTTATTTGCTATTCAAATATTCTTTTTATTTACGTATCTTTATATTAATTACATCTAGATTTTTGATCATTTAAAGGTTCTAATTGTACATATATTAGATTTTATGTATTTTATTTAATGTTAAAAGTCCCCCCCCCCCTTAATTTAGATATTGCTAATAATCCTTAATACAAAAATATCTATTTAAATATCTAAAAAGTCCTTTATACTTTTTTAAATTTCCTCTATACGATAACCAAAACACTTGGCAAATATTTAATAAAACTCCTATATCAACTATGAACATTATAATACAAGAAAAGGCTTCGTTAATAGTTTCTTGTCATGTGCCAGTTAGTTTTCGCACATCGCACGGTATCTAAAACATCCCATCATATAACTTTGCTTTGATGTAAACAAAGTAACGACTATTATTACAATAGTAGGATAATATTATTATGCTTTGAACCGAGAAACCGTTATTAAGAAAACAAAAGCAAAAAAAAAAAACAGAATTATAATTCAGTAATATTCAATAATAAATAAATACGTGAACGTAGATACCTAGGTATGGAATTCATAATATAACCTAATTATATGTTCAAACTTTAACTCAAGATTTGTTTGACTTAGTATAATACATTCATGAGAATTTTAAAACTTTAATGACGGAAATAAAATGAATAAAAAAAAAATCTCTTCATTCTTACTTTAATAATACGATTGAGCAATTGTATTATTATACCTATTAAAAATGTAAATATATAAATATGAATTTATTAGCACGATAAGAAAAGAAATTATGAGAGATTTTTTCCGGTCACGATAAATAACATGATTATTCATTAACGATATACTTACGTCAACAAATGTGTTTATCTATTAGGTAGCTGTTAGCAGGGCCATTAGACCACTTACAAAAAAAAACATAATATTTATAACACTAAACTGTGTACAAAATATTTGTGGTAAATAATAAATTTAAAAATGTAGTATCAACAAAAAAAATTATTAATCTAAACCTATAAAGTAGATATATTAATTTTCGTTGTTATTATAGGTTATGAGGTCGATAGACATGTTTAATACTTTACTAAAATACCAGTTACCAGTTAATGAAGTGAACTACATTTTGCCCATTTTATGAAATGAAAAAATTCACATATGGGATGTAACATCAACATTGTTTAACAAATAGTTTAGTTATTTACAAATAAATCCTGATTTCCAAAACTGAATAAGCTGATATAAAATCAATATTTCTTTGTAATACTGAAGAAGTATGTAGTATCTTTTGTAGTATTTCTTTAATATCCCTTTTTAATAGTTCATATAAATATTTTAACTTAAATGGTTTTAATTTATTTTCAGAAAATATGATACAAAACAAAATTTAAAATAGAAATTGCCAAAATGAATAATTAGTATTTTGATATTTTCGATGTAATTAATTATTTAGCAACATACTTAATTAATAATTAAGTAAAACACAATCATTATTTTTAATAATGTAACACATTATTATTTTTAAATTTTTCAACAAAGAATTACAAAAACAAAATGTAACTACAAAACATAATTATTATAAAAAAATATTTTTAAAAATGTTTTGATAGTAATACTTAACTAAGTAGCCAGGTATTACCATATTTTATTTTGTTTACAGAGCTTTCAATTTTTTCAAACATTTTCTAACAATGTCCATGTCAACGTTATTGGTTGTGTTTTTAAACTTGAATGTCAAGTGTAATATTGTTGGTCATGTACTTAGCACCAAAAAATTTAAAAGTTGAAGAACTTTTTTAATTTTTTCCAACAATATGTAGCAAGTCAGAGTAGACATTTTTGGAATGTTTTTTTTAAATTTTTGTGAATATTTTGGAGTTAGCTTCACATACTTGATATCAACAAATCAAAAAGTCCCAGAAATGTTGACAGTAACATTAAAAAAAGAAATCTGAAAATTAATTTGTAAAAGTTATAAATACGAAATTGGACCTGTAAATTATAAACCGTGTGTAGGTAAGTGACAATTTACAGAGCTATAAGCATTAGGGAGCTTTCTAACAACATCCAACCACGTTATTTACAGATCTGGAACTGCGCCAATAATTCTGTAAGTCGCTACAGAATGTTTATGAAATCCGTTCTTTAATAAATAATTATTTAAACGTGTTAAAGTATTCTTTGAATAGTATAATACTGTTACATTGATTGATCAATAACTCTGGTTTATTATATAATGATAATTATTATTTCTCTTTGAAAATGACTTAATAGTCATTCTGTTATAGTCAACCTAAATATAAAGAGTTTTGCATTTTATAGAAGGATTAGAAAAATTAAATCGACATAACAGAAGCCGTTTTGCGTATTATCCTCAATGCACCAGCAAGACAAAATTTTCTACCAAAATCCACCCCTAATGTTTACGATCGGAGCAAGATTTCAGGTAGAAAAATGGTTTTAGATAGACAAAAACACATATCGCTTCGTTCAGAATCTAAAACAATCCAAAAATGTTGTTTATTATTTTTTACGAATCCAACTCATAATATATTATTAGGTATTATGTTTATTTTTTTAATTTTAATATGCCAATATTAAGTATTAACGAAAACATAACATATTGCGGCATAACGAAATAAATATAAGAGTTATTATTTAAATAAACAGATAACGAGCCATAAATATTATAGTTCACAATAAAAAGTTATTAAAAATGGCTAAACTATACTCGGCAACATGTGGTATTTTAGCTTAAGGCATTATGGGGATCTAGAATAGGCTTTGGCGTTAGAACAACGCAACGCACAAGGATATAATATTCACTTGGCCGTTTGGTTAATAAAACTAATTACAACCGTGTTCGTTCACGGTAGCACGACAGTAGATACTTATAGTTTCCCATAACGCCATCTGGTACTTATTCTCTACAGAAAAATATGTGCACGTGCAGATTTTAGTTTTTCAGCAAAACATTTTGGGCATTATCATGTTACAGTTTAGTGTATTCCTGAGAAAAAATAATAAACAATCAAAATTATTGGTTTGTTAAATTTATTAAGATTAAGTATTGTCGGTCGTCAGCAAAGGAAGAGTCGGTGACGTGACAGTGACGGTGTGAATAGATGTCCTACGCTGCTTTGTGGCCATATCAAGCGCGAGCAATCAAACAAGGAAATGATAAGGAGAATATGTCTCCCATCTTTACCATATTTTTCTTAAACATTTATAACAATATATACATGGCAATTTTTAAACACTCTCGCCCTATTTTTATAGTAAAATTATGCATAAATTTAAAATCTAATTTTTGGAATTTTTAGTGTAGCGACAGAAGTTATTTTCGAAACGTAGATTTTTCACAACAAAGAAGTGTCCTGTGTCAATACCAACGTTGATTTTTCGAATAATAAACTAAATGTTTTTATACAAATTGTCAATTAAATATTGTTTCTAAAAATGTTGACATATTTCAATCAAAATTTGAATGGAAAATATCTGAGTTATTCTACGTTAAATAGTGAAGAACTGCATGATTTAAAACAAGACATTTTCTACACACGATTCCAACGAAACAGTCAGTATCTTATCTTCATAAAGAACTGTTATTCTTAGTATTTAAAGCAGAATAACTCAGAACATTTTCATTTAAATTTCAATTAAAATACGATAAAATTTATTGAAATAAAAACTTCAAAACTATTTTGTTGCAGGTACAGTAAATGTACAGCACAAAAATTATATTTCATAATTTAAACCCCTTTTTTCCTCCAGCACTACAAGTTTCGCTACATAATATTATGTAAAATACGTGTATAATAATGGAAAAAAAAATTAATGCTTACACTTATACTCCAACCACTTATGAAAATGATCCAATAAATTAGTTTTAACCGTTTTAATAAAAAAATTCCCTTCAACAATTTTTTTTTTTGGAAATTTAAACCCGTTTTTTCCTACAACACCACAACTTTAAAATATGAAATAAAAATGTTTAGCTGTATATTTCCAATTTAAATGATCAAAAATAATTTTTTATGAAGTTTTTTAAAGTGTTTGAAATATAAAAGTATAAAAATGTATTTGTTTTCCTATTCTTATACGTATTATAGGTATACACGCACCTTGTGGTGCTGAAGAAAAAAAAGGGATTTAAATTTTCAAAAACCACAAAAACCACTAATGACCTTAACAAATATTTATAATTATAATAATTTTTTTTTTTCGAGTTACCTAACTGATTAACCATAAGTTCACCCACCGCAAACAATCTGTCCCAGTAAATGTATACGTTATAAGTATATCGTGCATTTCGAAATATTAAAACTCATAAGTGGTAGGTATTAATAACGGTTTTGTCAAGTATAAATAGCCGTAACATAACTTATAACCGTAATCAATACTATTGTAATAGTTGCCATTCTGTGTTCTTCGTTTGACAAACAATATAATATTACAGTATCTATAGTTTATAATAAAATTTTATGACAATTAATTATTGATAAAATGCAGATAAGTATACTTCAGGTAAGCCAGTTACGAATATAACAATACCTTTTAATTTTTATAGGCACTGTTACATGTTGCACAATCTTATGTCTATAAAAACATTTTGTTTCTAGTTTTGAAATTGTAATTTAATTTTTTTTTTTTGTATAAATGTAACTATACAAATATTAACACCTATATTTATAATAATATAACACCAATACAAAATATATGCGTACCAATAAATATACATATCGAACATATACTGTATACTCTCATAAATACATAATTAACAAATTAACTATTAACCTCATATTCAAAACAAATCTATCACCCCCTTTACTTTTTATTTTACTACAAGTATAAATGAACGCCATCGTTTCTAATATTTCGGATTCACTGCATGTATTTCTAAATATAAGTCATAACTATATAATAAGTTACCTACATTTAAATTTAAATTATATTACTTCGATAAAGTAAATTTATTCAACTGAATACGTACCTGAATAAGGAGTCAATTAGCTTTTTTTGCCGTTTCTGTCCATCTATATCATTATATAGCAATATAGCAAACATGTGTTTTCGGAGTTTTAACATTTCTTACCTACCTACTCAGACTCCAATAATCTTCAAACAAAAATTTGATCACCGAATTAAAAACAGTATTTACTATGTTTTCATAGCAGAATTTTTATATTTTCAATATCAAGTTTTATATGTACTAAGATAAAATAAACGTGTTTATTAAAATTTCCATATACGAATATATATTATATGAAAATTCAATTTCAAAAAATCCCTATCTGTAAGCAAACCATAAATGTGGTCGTCTTTGATTTGGTGAAATAACTTTTGTTTTATTTCTATTTAAACTTCTATAAACTATTTATACCTACTCAAAATCTAACTACTACGCCACTTCATCAGATAGGTATCATATATGATATTGAATCTTACTAATATTTAAACACTTTCATCTTTTATTTAACTGTATAAATGATTATAGTGAAGATTTCTGAGGGTATAGTGCACTGTAGTCTGTAATACAATTATTCTATTATTTTCAATAGCATGAAGGTATTATTTTATGAACGTTTGTTTTGCCGTATTTTAGATCACTGTGGTCGCTCTAGGCGCATTGACGACACTAACAAAGGCCAACTACCAAGCCACCTCATTTGCCTATTACCATCCTATATTCCACCACACAGAACACCACGGACACGATTATTACGTACGTATAAACTGTGATTTTTCTAATATACGATACCGTAACTATATGTAATACCTACGAAAATTCTATAGCAATTGGTTAGCGGTGTACGTGTACCTATTGTTTAATCATTATAATATTTTATTGATAATCGTTTTCAAATATGAATTGTGAGTTGCATATTATTATGACATGTTCTTTGGATGTGTGAGGTACGTTAATTTTTATCCTGATCTGCGTTTACCTGAATTTGTAACGCGATCGGACCAATCCAACAATAGTAAAAAGATAAATAAGCATATGAGTAGGATAATATACTTTAGAGTTAGAGAGTGTAATTAATTTTTAAATCCTATTACCATAAAATGTTTATGGGAGAAAAATATTTTGGAAGCCTAGTTTCCATGATGGTCGTCTTTCCAATAGTATAAATTTCTTGAAAGTTTGTTAGAGTTGTTCGATATTTGGAACACTCAATTGTTGGTAAATCAAATCTCCTCCCCCTCGAAGTATTTCGCCACTTAAAGTACTGTTAAGATTTAGGGGTCTATTCAAAGTCCAGTCCTGCAAGTTCCAGCGACTTAATCGTAATATGTATGTGTAACTTGTGTTTGTAACTGGTTTTTCTATACGGATTTGTCTACACCGCCGCAGTCACCACCTAAGTACGAGTTCAAGTACGGCGTCCACGATCAGCACACAAAGGACGAGAAAAACCAGTGGGAGAAACGACACGGAGACGTCGTGCATGGCGGCTACAGCTTTGTTCAACCAGACGGCCGCGTTCGGAAGGTGACCTACACGGCCGACAAGCACAACGGGTTCAACGCGCACGTCCACTACGAACACCACGCGAAACATCCCCAACATTACGGTGAACATCATGATTCATGAACTTCTCCGATAGCGGCCGATTTTTATGATGCTGTTCCAAGTTCTATTCAAATGTATGATAAAATTCGTTGAAAACCCTATGTTAGAATTAATAAAATGTTCAATTTTAATTAATCAAAAAATATTTAACCGAATTACGCTAAGATTTCCGTTTACAATGATATAGGTATCGTTTGCATACAATTTATATACATTATACATAAAATATATATTAAATAACTCAATATATTATCCTACGTATTCAATTATTGTCCACCAACAAAAATACCCATCGAACTTAGAATAAAAGCTTTTTTTTTCTTATAGTCCATATTCTTATAGTTTTTTTCTTATTGCACCTAATATCAAATTTAATCCGAAAACAATGTATTTCATTTAAATGGTAACATAACATTTGTCTGATATTAAAATATGGTTTAAATCATTTTCAATACGAAAATTACATTATTTTTTGTTGATTATGAGTTACCTTGGCGACACTGATAAAAATAAAATAATTATTATTTGAAAAATAAATATATTACCGAGAAACAACGGTTAACTGTGATGTGGTCGGAGATGGAAACGGGGAACACGTGGAGTTAAAGGATCATGGAGAGACTCGTTTTGTTATATTTTTTTCATTCAATACTGTGCACGGGCAAAGACATGCGGGACACCTAGAAATATCCTACATATTTTTTTTAACTAAGAATATTTTAAATAATATTACTCTAGTTTAATAATATTACAGATATTATTTTCAAATAAATATCTATTTTTTCGTAAGACATAATCCCCTGGTTAACCATATCTATATATTTAAACAAATTATAATTATATATTATGTATAATTGTGTGTATGAAAAGAATAGTTTTTAAAAAATTTAGAATTCAAATAAATTAAAACTGAAATTTCTGCGACATTTAGTAAATTCTACTGGGATACCTTAAAATAGTATAGCATACAATTAATCAACAAATATACCTGCACCAACCATAAATTTTACTCCTAATCAACACAAAATTCTCGATAACTTCATTATTTATTTCCCCTTGGGCTTCGAGTTTTTCATATTGTATGCAATTATACCTATATAGGTAGGTAATTAGTAGGTAGGATAATCAGAAAATACAATGATCATAAATTGGTTACTATTTTTTTTTTTAATTTTACTTCATATAATACAATGTAACAATAATATTTAAAGGAATTTATTTATTAGATTAATCAACACAATGTAACACATTGATTGCATCGGAAATTATCAACTTTTTCGGAAAGTATTTTTTACATTACCTTTAAAATGTTACATTACTATTATATTTTGAGGGTGAACTCACTACCCACTTTTGAGTTTAAAATCATCATGTTCTTCTTTTTGAGTGTTATCGGCTAAGCAAACCCCGTCACATAACTTTAATAATTCTTCAGTTCTCCTTTTCAACTGTTCTTGTTTTTCAATCTCCATTTATAGATCTTTACCACGTTTTCCATCGCAAACAAAAACGTCTAAGATGTCTTTTTCCTCCATGATTCTCAGGCATAAACCATGTGCAACAGTGGATTCTGAATACGTCAGGTATAACGGCTTGCATTTAATATATTTAGTTTCTAGAAAAATTCCTTTAATTCTTTGTATTTTCTTATTCTCCATTCGAAGGTTTCCTCGTCTCTTACTAAACCAAAGATCTTTCTTAAGATTTTTCTCTCCAAACAATAATTTGTCTTCGTTTTTCTTAATGGCCATGTTTCTTATCCATAAATGATTATTAGGCATAATGGCGTAATGACCATAACTCCATTATCTTTATGAGTTCGCAGAAACATTTGTGTCCTGACAAAATTCTTGTAGCTACTTCCTTTAAAATTTTTTCGAACAATATCAAAACATAGATAAAAGTATTTAAATTATTTAATCAACACGCTTAGAATTTATTTTTTTATTTCACGTATAATAATTAGTATAAGCACCACATAATGACATAGCCTCCTGAAATTCGAAATATTGACTTTTTTAAATTTTATTTGAATACGCTTGACATATTCATAAAATATAATAATTGTTAAGCTTTTAATTTCACTAGGATATTCTGTTTTTAATTTAAACGACTAATAAAACGCATAAAACCCCTAATCCAGTCCCAATATTAAATTAAATTCATTATGTATATTCATAAATTCTAAATATATGAATTGAACGTAATTCAATATACGAATTAAAAATAAATATTTGAATACTCATTTTTATGCATAAAAATATAAACATGAAATAATATGTGATATCATATTTATAGTTATATCAGGAATATTATCCAGAAAAAAAATAGATAAACGGAAAAAAACGATGAAAAACGAGAATAACGGTTTTCGTTTTTTATTGTACCGAGACGAGTATTTTTTTGACGTTTAAATAATATGATGAAAAGAACTCAACAATCATTGTTGAATTTGTATAAAACCGATAATACTGTTTCATCTACATCGAATGTAAAGAACACAATATTAAAATTGCATAGTATTTAAACTAATGCTCTAATATACTAGTTCATACTTTTTTTTTTTTTAAAAAGTTTACGAGGCTTACATTGAGATAAATTATAATAATTCAACCACTCTTTCACTCAGTGTCAAGTCCAGTGTCCCGCTCATGAAAACAAAAAATGTCTAAATACGCCACTATAAAGTGTCTATTTCCGTTTGAACTTATCTCATATGATGAATTATGACAACACGAGTATGATGCAATAATTTTATTTTGTGATTAAACCCCTATCGGCTGTACCTAACAAGAATAGTGATTATGTTATTCTTTGTTGTTGCGGGATGCGTAAATGTTATTTAACAAATTCAACTAGATTATAAAGTTATTTAAAGTTATTTATCGGTCGTTATCCATTACCTATATTATGTATTATGATTAGTAGGGCCCGGATGTTGTTGCATCTGCAACTTTTCTTCTACTTATCCAATTTATTGTTAAGTAAGTTTTCAATGCGTTACATGTTAGTACGAATTGAAATCTTAAATTTTGAAGAGTAATTTTTTGCAATTTCCGTAATTTTTACTCAGTTGTAAAACAGTTTTAATTATTATTCAATTTTTTCACGTAATTTTTTATATATATATATATTATATATCAGTGTTGTTTAAATGACTTATTGAAATTATTAAATGTGTAGTCGAAATGATAGTTTGATTATTTTTAGAATCGCATCAGTCGTGTCCTACTGAGATTATGGGATTTCTCGTATTTATAATGCATATAGATACGATTATATTTAACACAAAAATAATTTATAAAACGTGATCATTTGATCATTGAATTTCGTGTGGATTCGAGTTTTTATATTGGTTTAGAACTACGCCGACAATTAAGTCAAATTTTTCCAGTTTTAAAAAAATACGTTACTTTTTAGTACAATTTTTAATTTTTTAAGCGCAATTTTCGGTACTTTTTAGTGCAATACTGCAATCAATTTTACTATTATTTTACTACTATAACATCCATGCCCTAATGATTAGCCATTAAGTAGGTATATTAGGTGCATGCAAATTAATTCAATTTTATTAAGTTAATTAAACAAAACATGAAAGCATTCAGTTATTAAAAATAATACAGGTTATCAAAAAATAAAAATGTTACTTTAATTAAAAGTTAAATTGTAAAATAATGGCAATTGGTCCAAGGTACTATACAATATATGGGCCCCTACTTAAAAAGGAATCTAGTAAACTTATCATATTACTTATCAATATTATTATAATTATTATTTTTTCGGTGACCAAAATTTCAGAATAATATTGGTGTCCTATTGCTTTTAAAGGATTATAGTACGCCATCTAGTGGAGTTATCGAAACTCTTTTCGTTTGATGGGTGTATAATATATTGCCTATTGCCGCGCATTCACGTCGTCGTAATAATTAAATGAAATAATGAATATTAATATATTTCGTGTATTTAAAAAAAACTATGACAATTAAATTTGAACAAAATGCACATTATACATTTATATAAAATGTACTTGATATTTATAAATTATACATATTAAAAAAATAACTAAAAAATGAGCTGCTTATGGTTGTGCCACAATTATAGGTAGAGATTTGGAAAGGTAGGATACAAAAAATAAATTATTTTAAATCTGTTTACGCAATAATAAATCTTTGCTAACGAAAAACAATAAAATTCTGGACGAAATTCAGGTAAACATGTTTTGAAATGACGTGATTTATATAAGTTTCATAAAAATTTGAAATTTTAACGTTTATAAAAAAAAAACCAGCTTCATTACGCAAACATTTTTTTTTACTAATAAATATAACTAAAGGCCGAATTTCACATAAAATCCATATTGGAATTTTCTACATTATACATTTTTTTTAATATTTTCAACTAAATTAGATTACTAAAATACTATTTACTTTGTTCTTATAATGTATTAAAAAAAAAAATATTCTAAGTCTATTGTACTTTTTTGATTTACAGATTTCAATTAACTATGTATAAGTTGAAATGCACATATAAACAAAAATTAAATATCAATTTGTATATTGCATATTTATGTTACATTATATATTTCACTTTCTTTTTTTTTAAAGTTATAATAATATTTAAACTTCAAAATTATGTAATACAATAAAAAATAAAAGTAGTACAAATTTTAATTTTAATCTACGTATTTTGTAATTTTTTTTTTTGTATATTTTGACTTTTTTTAGTGCTTGTTTGCATGAATATTTAACAATTATAAGTGTTTATAAATCCGGTCTTTAAATAAACTTCGTGTTAAATTTTAAAACCGAAAAATTCTCATTAAACCAAATAAAAAAATATTTACCACGTCTAGAAAAATCTATTATATAAGGTATTCTGTAAAAATAACATGTTTTTACGAATGTTTTTAACCAAAGAATAATAAAAAATCAAAATTAAAAATAAATAAACTTTTATTTGCGTAAACTTTCCCGTTTTACCCAATTATTGAGAAAACTACGAGGAATTAAAATTGGCTTTCTTATTCACAAACTGAACAACATTTCCTTTAGAAAAGGTACTAGGTACTCTTAAAATTTGGAGCAATTTTTCTAATAGAAAAGAAAATTGAATATAAATTTAAAATAATAAAATTGTTAATGTCGTAAATTTGTCCGTATTTTTTTTACGTCTCTTTCCGGTTTTTCTGTTATTTTTAAAACTACCACTACTAATTGAAAAATCAAAAAAAGGCTCACTTCCTCACCAACCAGATCCAAAATACAACGAAAAAGATTTCCTGTCTTTTATTATTGGATTGGAACAAGACATCTGGAACAGACACATAGAAAATAAAAAGCATACATCACAGTAAAACGCTTAGACTCTTAACAAATATAGTACTTAATGTGCGAAAATATGTTTATAGCAATTGATATTCATATTATCATTTAAAAAGTTATGAAATAATGTATTTTGTGCTTACTTAGCATACATAAAACGAATATAATATGCGATATAAAAGTCCATAAAAAAAAAAAGTGAACATTTTCATAAATCCTATAGATATCGTATGTTACCGTGGGCTTAGATCAAATTTCGCAGACTACAAAAATAAAAGAAACACAAAATATACCATTTTTACATACATGTGTTTTATTGGTACCTATAACAAATACGCGATCGTTAACTCGTTTTAGAGAAAAATATTCATTGTTTTATAAAGTTCTGAAAATAATACCGTTAATTAATCATTTTATAATATAGTGTACATATAATCAAATATAAAAAATATATGTTTATATATTTAAAGGTTTAAGGCATTTAAATATGTACTTGTCGTTTTATGCATAATGCTATAATAATATGATATACTGTAAACCACAACTATATAGGAAAACAATTACATTTACCCTGCAGTATTTCAAAACAGAAAATAAGATTTTAATTCCGATTAAATATAGTAAAGAACAATTAAGACAAATCAGAATAATATTAGAAAATAGATTTACGTTGCGCGTTTTTTATTTTGTACAACACACATACAATATATGTAGGCATGTGATGTACTTATGTTTCTGGTGCATTCAACGCAATTGTACAAATAAAATAGATTAAATGTTTGTATGTTTAACTGTTCAAACGCCTGAACGCTGTTTTTCAGTATTTTAGGTATTAGGTTTATGACCTACCTAAGTGGTGAAACACGAAATCAACAATCACCACAAATTCATGATTTCGAAATAATTATAATTTTACACCAAACGTCCTGTAAAATTATTAATATTTTAATCCATCTTATCTTATCCGTATATTTTGACATTTATTCCAAAATATCCTGATACAGACAGTTACTAATGAAAATCTCTGAAGAAATAGAGAAATAAGTCAATAAATATAAAATCAAATATTTGATGTTTGTTTTTGGTATAGCCACAGATAAAACAAGGGGGACTCGGGTCGGGTAAGTCTCTCAAAAACTCATAACTTACATTGCAGCATAGAAGCACAATACACGTTGTTACAGTAATATTATATATAAGCACATTGTAAAAAGACAAAAATAATTGTTAAAAATAATACCTATCTTGGTATTTGGTTGGAAATTATTCCTTGGTAGGACCTTTTTAATTGTTTTCTTGATCCATAAATATTGTTCCAGCCCTCCCTCCACTCACACCTTAAATCAAAACACTATTTTCCACTAATACTTTTGGTAGTTTGGTTAACTGTTTTTGATAATAGGTACTTATTTATTTGTATAATATATAATCCGAGTGAAAAAACTGAATGGTAAAATAATATTAATCGTATTAATTGTATTAATCGGTTTTATGGAATGATGTTCTCCATCTGCACAAATATAATTTATTTTACAGTAAATTTAACGGGCTTTGCTATCATACCCCCCCCCCCCTAATGTTCACTTTATATTTAACTAAAAGAAAAAATTACATAAAGATATACGAAAATTAATTCAACCAGCTTTTATTTTTTATTTAGTAAACAATAATTTATAATTTTTATATTCATGCATGACAAAGATTTTACAATTTAAATTGTTTGAATGTTTTCCTCTTTATTTCTGTCCTTCTGCATCCCTTTTAAATCACAAAATTTGAAATACTCTTTTAAATCAATATTGCCAATCACGTGCCTTATAAATTTCTTTTATTCGGTAATTACCTATAATTAAGTTGGATTAATCCGCAATAAAACCGCAGGTCTCGGATCTCATAAGGATAATTTATTAAACTCTCATACTAAACAAGACAATTTTGTTAGATTTTTCATTAAAGTTCAAGGTTTTCGTCAGAATGTACATAGTATTGTTTTATTGTACGAAGGAGCATACAGAGTGTCCCACGAAGACATATTCATTGCAATATGTTGGGAAGCGTTAACGTTTTTCGGATTTTTAATTTTGTTTTTAATTTGTGAAACAAATAGCTCTAAAATGTTACAATGTCATTATTTTTCGTCACAATTATTTTTAGGAGTCTATCTATTTTTGTTTCCCAAATAGTATTCTACATCAAAAATACCAATTATAGGTGGAGTAAATATTAGGATAAATAAATGTTGACGTTGACATTTTTGATTTTCGTCAACCCGTTGTAGAGATACTCCAATTTTAAGTTTGGATTGGCGCCCATTTGAAGAATTTATTATGAGCAGACTAGAAAATCTATGCTTACCAGTGGCATAATTAAGGGATACGACTAGGAAACTTAGCTCCCTGGATCGACTGAAGCTTCCCCAATGCAGAGACAGTATCCCATAGATCAAATTTATTTAATATATTGGTGGGACTCAAACTCCAGATTAATATTATTTATTACAATGGAATTTATGCACAGCTAAAGTGGTTTTTGGTTCAAAAACTTAATTTGAATTTTGAATTTAATGGATTTAATATAATAAAATAAAATATTTTGATTTCAATTGTATAATTATTATGGATTTATTAAACTATGACTGATTTTATTTACCAATTTTACTTATTTAAAAAATTCTATCTTTTGTAGGAATTAACACTATATCAATGAAGAAGATTACCAAC